CGGGAGGATGAAAATGTTCTGGAATTAGGTAGTGGTGATGGCTGCTTAACTTTGTGAATATGTTAAAAACCAATGAATTGTACACTTTAAAAGGGTGAACTGTATGGTACATTCATGATATAAAAAAAAGTCACTGGATGAGAAAGCAGCCTCCTCCCACCCTCATCAAAGTCTAGGAGGGCTGCATGGGAGAAGAGGGGAAAGGCCTGCAGGGGTCAGTGGTCCTGGGCAGGGCAGGCCCCTCTGGCAGGTTAGAGCTGCCTCCCAGGAACCAGCAGGGGCCTGGGGACTCTTGCAACTAGCCCTGGCCTCCCCATGGCCTCCCACCTGCCCTCACCTGCTTGACTTCCTGCTCCTGGCTGCAGTTCTCCCAGTAGTTGGTCACGATGAAGGTAGCATGAGCCCCGGTCAGGGCCAGTTCCATGCTGGCCTCATCATCCTGGTCTCCCTGCACTACTTCCGCACCTCGCAGCCTCAGCTCCTTCGCTGCCTTCTGCCCAGGGTTTCGGGTCACAGCCCGAACCCGGAACGTTCCGTCTTCCAGAAGCGTCCGGGCCACTGAGCCCCCTTGGGCACCTATGAAGAGTCAAAAAGACCTGCAGGGTTGAACCTGCCTGGGAGTCCTGCTAAGGGTGAAACCCTGAGGGGAATGCTCCACCACAGCAAGACACTCAAGACACTTCGCCTGTCATTCCCATTAAACCATCTCACACCATTTTTAAATAACAGCTTTATTGAAATAGAATTCACTTACCATAATATGCATTTAAAAACTATAGCGTGTAGTGGCTTTTAGTGTAGTCAGAGTTATGCAACCATCATCATATTCGATTTTAGAACATTTTCATGCCCCCAAAAGAAAATCCATACCCATCAGCAGTCACTCTCCATTCTCTCCTCCCCGCAGTCCCTGGCAGCCACTAATATGCTTCCTGTTTCTATGCATTTGCGTGTTCGGGACGTTTCATATAAATGAAATCCTTCAATATGTGGCCTTTTTCTACTCAGCATGTTTTCAAAGTTTCATCCATGTTTTAGCACGCATCACACTTATACCTTTTATAAAATTTTTAAAATGTATTATGAAATATTTAGCAGATGCAAAAAGGGATACCAACACCCTTAGCTAAAAAATAAATTATATCTTTTCCCAAAAAAAAGATGGAGAAAATTATAAAAATGAAAATAATCAAAAGGAAGAAAATAAAAATTATCTATAAATATGTGTATAAGAACATAGCTGCAGCACTATTTGCAACGTTGGAAACTTAGAGACAACCTAAATGTCCTTTGGTAGGAATCTGGTTAAATAATAAATCCCTACAAAGTAATTAAAAAGAATGTGGCAGATCTGTATGTATGGCTTGGACAGGTGAACATGATGGTCCTGGAGTGGAAAAGACAGACTGCAGAACTACAACTACCATCATACAGTTCTAATGGGAATGTCTGTGAGTTCCTCAAAATGCTAAACACAGTTACCGTATGATCCAGCAATAACAAGAAAACTGAAAACACACGTCCACACAAAAACGTCTATATGATTGTTCATAGCAGCATTACTGACACTAGCCAAAAGGGAAACAAATCAAATGTCCAGAATGAGTAAATTTGTAGACCAAAAGATTTGTGGCTGTCAGGGGCTGGGAGAAATGGGGGGAAATGGGGAGCGACTGCTAGGAGGTGTCAACATAAGAAATATCCAAACCTGTAGAGAATTTTAATGAGTTTATTTGAGCCAAACTGACAACATATGCCAGGATGCAAAACCTCAACAGACTGAAAAAATGCTCTGGAGAAGGGCAGGTTTGCAGATTATTTTATGCATTAGAATGAAAGAAGGAGAGGTAAGAAGGGTTACATAAAATCCATTGATGGCATATTAAGGCGGCAGGAGAAAGTAAAGCGGAGAAATCTCTGGGATTTAAGCAAAACAGATAAACACATAACTTCTTTTCCACTGGTGGGTACAGGATAGTTAACATTTACAGTACATAGCGATGCGATGCCAGCAAAGAGATAAGAATGAGGGGTTCTGTGGTCTTACACTCTGGTGCCAGGGGTTGTGCCTTGAGGGGGGTCTGGAAAAGAAGATTACTCTGACATTTCAAACATATATTCTCTTAGATGAAAAAAGACAATAGACAGGTTCACTTAAGGTAAATTTGTCAAGGAAACTCCAGTTCTAGGACCCTGACTACCTGCCATGCCCCGCTTTTAGTTAGGAATTTGTATGTTTAGGCCATCCTGTGTGGTTAATTTTGGTCTTCTGAGTTTGTAAGGCCAGCCACACAGACTTCCCTCCCTTGAGCTTGTCAGGTTTAGTATGTGGCCCTTTTTTCCATCCACATAGGTATGGGGCTTCTTTTTAGGGTGATGAAATGTTCTACAACTGATTGTGGTGATGGTCATAGAACTCTGCAAATATACTAGAAACCTGTGAATTGCACACATTAAATGGGTAAATTGTATGGTACATGAATTATACCTCAATAAAGCTGTTACACATTTTAAAATATACTATATAAAAAAGAAAAACAGGTGCAGGCAAAATAAAACGCTACCGTTTAAAAATAATAT